ATCTGCTGGAGGAAGATTTAGATAACGCCTCCATTTTTCCAGACCATTCTTTTCAGCCCCATTTCAGTGCCCCCCCCCCCCCCGGCACGCTGTAGAAGTGATCACGTAGGCGAGTGGCCTTCTTAGCAGGGATGCTGAGAGGAATGGGGTGTGGTGTGGTGGGGGGGTGGGGGGGGGGGGCAAAGCGAGATCGCTATTGTTGCCTTGTGCTCACAAACAGAAGTGCTGCGACATAGACATGGAGCGCCTACTCGCCTGCCAGACAGAACTAGCCGAGCACCGCACCACACCTTCTTCTTCCAGCTTTCTCAGCGGCGCACCAGCATTTTCCAGCGTGTTACGATCAGCACTTGCATGTTTGATTTCTTAAGTTATTTTCCCTTAAGTTCTTTTCCTTTTTTTGGAAATATCTTCACATCCAGCTCACACACACTGTTTACAGACATACTATAATACAAAAAGTCCCCATATTAATAAATGTTAACAAACACTATGTTAATCTTTATATTCTTCATTATTAATGTTCTCTTTAGAAACATCCTGACCTTAGCCAGTCACCCTGAAGCTTATCCCCCCCAGCGGAGGGCACAAAGCTGGCCGGGATCGGGGACAGGATGCCAGTTCCCCAAAAGGACACCAATTCATCCAACCTGGGGGAGGAATCCAAAGAGAACTCAGAGGAAATCTATACAAACACATGCAGAACAGAGTGGGAGTCAAACCCACAGGCCTTATGAGATATTTAAATGCCTAGTTGTAAACAGCTGTTTAGTTTGACTGAACCTGTTCAGGTTGAGCACTTTTCCTTAAGTCTACATCAGTTTACTTCTTGGGCTGCGAATCAACAGCATTCAGCTCCACGGCCATCATGCCACCTGCTACATGTTTACATAAATTGCACGTTTTGCACACGTTCCCATCCCGCCGGGGGAATCTTGACTGTGAAGCGATTCATCTGTCTCCGGTCCTTCGTTCCAGTTTGCATGACATACAGCAGGGACGTGCATCTTGTCAGTTCACCGGTGGGACTTGCGCTCCGGGGAGGTCAGACCACTGGCCGCAATACCTTCAGAGCCCAGAGGGGGGTGCTGTTTGAGCAGGGGATCAGCCACAGGACGCCCCTGTCCCACCGCTCGTGAGGCCCCCGTGTGACCTGTAGTAGCACCCGAGAAGGTCACGCTGCTCCCTTGTGACCGGTGCTGGACGCAACCCGAGCCCGGCGGCGCTTCCTGCTGGTGGAGCAGATGGTGGCACGTGGGGGGAAACCGCCGCTCGTTCCGGACGGCCGCGGCTCCCTCAAGCAGGCCGCACCACATCTACGTCACGCGCTTCCTCGGCCTCGGGAGTCCTCCAGCTCAGCCCGTCGTTAGACACCCTGGGCGCGACCTGCAGTGGGTTTCCTGCTCACTGAAAATGACGACACCCACACCAGTGTATGAGGTCCAGACGCAGGCACGCCTGCTGTGCAGACTGCTGCCTTTATTAAACCATCGCCCCGCTTCATCCCTCCAGCTCCCTCTTTAACAGCAGAGTCCCGTCCATCATTTTAGTCTGAGTGGCTTCACTTCAGTTTCTCCTGCTTGCTTCACTTGACTTTCTCTTGCTTGCTTCACTTCCATCTTTCACGCTCACTTCAGTCTCTTGTATTTACTTTATTTCAATTTCTCCTGCACACTTCACTTCAGTTTTTCCTGCTTGTTTTACTTCTGTCTCTCCTGCTCGCTTCACTTCAGTCTCTCCTGCTCGCTTCACTTTACGTTTCTACCGCTCGCTTCACTTCAGTCTCTCCTGCTCGCTTCACTTCAGTCTCTCCTGCTCGCTTCANTTCAGTCTCTCCTGCTCGCTTCACTTCAGTCTCTCCTGCTCGCTTCATTTCAGTCTCTCCTGCTCGCTTCACTTCAGTCTCTCCTGCTCACTTCACTTCTGTCTCTCCTGCTCGCTTTCTCCTGCTTGCTTCACTTTGCGTTTCTCCTGCTTGCTTCACTTTGCATTTCTCCTGCTTGCTTCTCTTTGCGTTTCTCCTGCTTACTGCACTTCAGTCTCTCCTGCTCGCTTCATTTCAGTCTTTCCTTGTCACTTCACTTTCTCCTGCTTGGTTCCAGTGCATCACTTTAGTCTGACTGAGTGGCTCTCTTAACTTCAGTCTCTCCTACTTACTTCACTTTGCGTCTCTCCTGCTCGCTTCATTTCAGTCTCTCCTACTTACTTCACTTCTGTCTCTCCTGCTCACTTCATTTAGCTTTACTTTCTCAATTTCCCTTCAGTAGGCAGTCAGTGTCTCGTATGCCAAACTTATTCACACACCGGGATGGTCCCTAGTACTGTTCTCTTCACCTTGGACACTAAACCCAGCAAACAATTTTAACTATTAAAGCTGTTCAAACTTGTTGGGTAGAAGTGCCCACTAATCAGCTGAATAATAAAGTTTGTTTGACGTTTTATGGTCGTCTGTTCCTGTGGGGCTGTTTGCCCGCAATTACTCACTTTGATAGAGCTCCCACGAGTGCACGGCCTGTCAGTGCCTGTTCAGACTTGACCTTGAGTTTTTGTCATCCCTTAAGCCTCAGCGTGTGGCCTTCTTATCTGAAGAAGCCATTTCCAAGGACAATCTGGCATCAAAGTCTCATTGGGGCCCCCAAACACAGCCAGTCACGCTCATACCTCAAGCCACAAGCCAAGGGGACCTACAGAAGTGATTGGATGCACGTATTCTGCTTGTGCGAGGAAGCAGGGTTGAAGAAACTCCACAAGGTCTGGGATTTCTGTTCACTATCAAAAGAACCTTTCATCTGGAAGGATGGAAAAAAATATCCGTAGCAGAGCCATGAATGCTAACAGCCTTACGAATGAAACCGGGGCATTAAAACTCATCTTAGCATGCAGAACATGCATCAGAATTGCAAGAAGCTGCACACATGTGATTTTCTTCCCTTGGACCATGAAACGCAGACTGGCTTCTGGGGAATCGTTCACATCAAGATGAAAAGTAGTTATTCCTCCGCTTGCTAAACAAAACTTTTCGTTGTCAAACTGGGAACCAGCGTGAAGCTTTGTAAATCCACTAAGCACCAGTTTAAGGATTAGATGAGAGATTCTCCTTGGCAAGTGCTCGACTGACAGACCACATTCGCATTTCCTGCAGCGTCTCTCAAAGTTACAGGTGTAGCAGGAGAGACGATATGAGGCGATACGATTTCCAGAGGGAATGTTGTTTCAAGACCAGTGATACAGCGTTTCACCATGATGACAGATTCAGCAATAACAATAAGGCAAGAACAGAAAGATATGAGAAAGATGAATGTCAGGAAGAAAAGACAATAAAATGACATTTGAAACGACAGACAGGTGGGAAGCAGCATTAACAAGGAGGATAAATGGTACAAGCAGGATGTGTAAGAATAAAGATGGAACAAAAGAAATTGTAACAGCATCTATGACATTGAACGGCAATTACAATATTTCTAAATTTAAAAATCACAAATCAAAGAAAACAAATACAAACTAAGCAAAAATAAGGGGCTAGATAAAAGTCAGGCGCTTAAAACACAATCAGAGCATAATTTTCTCTGCAGGGATGCCAGCAGACGGAAATCAGTGTGTGTCAAGCTCGCCTCCGTGGACTTACACCGGGGTACAAGAAACGCGAAGTCTGTTTCGCCCGCTGCGTCGGGACGCGCTCCAGGTTTGCGGTCCGCGTGCGCAGCCTGTGCGCGCAACTAGCGCCGCATTTCTTTATGGATGAAAGGATAGTCATTGTAAAGGAACGACATCTTTTCACTACGGGATTAAACAAAACGACTCAGAAGTGCGTTTTAATTCTAATTTGATAAACTTAATCTAATTTTACTTCTATAAGAATATGATTCATAGGTATAACGAACATGACATCGATATGAATAATGATTAAATCAGATACGCTTAACTCGTGTTCATTATTTTAGGAAGGAGTAAAGAAAAAACAGTGTGGAGAGTGCCAGAAAAACCTAATCTGCTGTGGAAAAGGGTTAATGCTCGTTAATTCTGCTTCATACGCAAGCGTTCCAGTGGTCAGGGGAGTATTTTCATTATGACAGTGGGGACAGTGTCTGGTGTGAAAGATACACAGGGCTCAAAATTGGAAATGGCGGTGGTGAGGGAAGGATTTACCTTAAAATATATAACCATCGTGTCCTAGCGTGTGTGTTGAATGGTGTTGGTCTCGCGGTTAATTGATAATTGGCTTTCACTCTGCAGTTCAGCTGATGTCTGGTGGAGGCGCTTGATAACTGTGCTCATTAATTCACATGCAGGATGTGACTTGCTGTTCGTTTTATTTAAAAAGTCTGCTTTTATTTCCTGGCGCCTCAGGGTTGAGTAATAGTATGAGTTTATAAATCAGTAAGGTGCACTGATGCCCTAAGGGTCTATATATGTGAAGCTGTGGAAGATGGTGAAATGTGTGGGAAAAAAAATCACCAGGGGCCTCGTATATAAACGGTGCGTACTCACAGTTTTATGTATCTGGATTTTTTCTTGCTTACGCACATTCCTAGTTTTGTCTGTACGCCATGATTTAGTGTGAATTCTACACACGTCGTTATACATGAGGCCCCAGGTTATTCGTCGTGTTTTTGGTAACTAGAAGTATGTCTTACTTAATCAAATATGGGTTTCAGATGGACTACAGCAGTAGCTCCCTCTGATTGGCTAATTGTTCCCTAGGAATCAAAGCTATGCTTTCTCTAATTGGCTAACAGTATCCCATGGATCAAACCAGCAAATCATCTTGATTGGCTGTTTATGCCCATGGTCATTTGGACCAAAACTCTCTCTCTCCTGCTGACTGGCCGGTTGTATTCCAGAGCCTAGAGCTGCATGGGTCTCTGATTGGCCGCTATCTTCCAGAAACTGGAGCCGTCTTGCTGATTGGCCAACAGTTGCCCAAATGACCAGAGCCACCTTGCTCTAATCTGCCTTCCTACGATAAAAGTTGTCTTTCTAATGAGCTGTTTGTCTCCCAGGGGCCACTAAAGACATGGGGAAGATGCTGGGTGGGGAGGAAGAGAAGGATCCGGATGCCCAGAAGAAGGAAGAGGAGCGGCAGGAGGCTCTGAGGCAGCAGGAGGATGAGCGGAAGGCCAAGCATGCTCGCATGGAGGCAGAGAGGGAGAAAGTCCGGCAAACGATCCGAGACAAGGTCAGCCATCACACGCTCCCTATATGCGAATCCTCTTCAAACAGTGAGGTTTTTGTCTTTCTTATTCTTTGAATTCACCAAGGGGTCGATTTATTCCCAAGTATGCCGTCCATCTGCCTGCATATCCCGATCAGAGTGCCGGGGGGGCAGCACAGGGCACAAGCTTGGGGCACACCCTGTACTGGGTGCCAGTCTTTGACTGGGCATTCACGCATCATGGACAGTTTAGAGATGTGAAGGACAGTTTAGAGATGTGAAGGACAGTTTAGAGATGTGAAGTGGCTGATCAGGACGTCTTTGGACTGCAGGAGGACGACGCATGACATGGGGAGGACATGCAAAGTCCTCACGCGCAAAGGAGGTGGGATTTGAACCCTCAGCTGAGAGGGTGTGTGGCTACAGTGCCACCTGCCACCCTTATGCCACGGGGGGGGGGGGCTGCCACAGTGAATTACTGATGCTTCGCTTTCACAGACGTTGTATGACTCCAGGGTTATGGGGGAGGGCAGGTTTGGGCAAGGGTGATGGGGGAGGGGGGGTATTTTACAAAAGCTCATTTTTATGCATACTTTATTAAACAGTAACATACTATATGCATGTAGCATGTGATCTGAGAGTAATATAGACATTTCTTCTTTGGGGTTTGGAATAGGAGGATATAGAAAATGATTTTTGTACATAGTTGAATTTCATTGTTATTATTATTATTATTATTATTATATTATTGCTGTTGTTATTATCTATGACCCCCAAGGTTGTTGGGGGTGGGGGGGGGGGGGGGGGGGGGGGGGCAGAGGGGATAGGGAGGTAAGAGAACAGAAGCTTTTTGATGGCTGATTGGATGGGAATAGATTAGTTTGTGGATGATGGTGTTTTTTTATAGAACATGCTTGTAATGATATTGTTTTCATGAACTGAGGAGACTCCTGTAGTTGTCAGTTAAGAGGGAAGGACTAATCATACACTTGCCTTGGACTGGATCCAGCCCCGTTTCATGAATCATGGTGTGGTCTTAATTGCAAATTATCACATCATTGTATCGTGGTGTCATTGCCAAGATTGGCTGTCTGGCTTTACTTCCGACACAGACAGCATCGTCCTCTCAGATGTGAGACTATGTCACCAATTGAGGACATACAGCTCGAAGGGAAGCTTTCGTTCCGTCATGTTTTAAAAGGATGGCGGAAATGCCGAATTCCCCACCCTTATGAATATCATAAGAACATAAGAAATTTACAAATGAGAGGAGGCCATTCGGCCCATTAAACTCTTTTGGGGAGAACTTAACCAATAGCTCAGAGTTGTTAAAATCTTTTCTAGCTCTGATTTAAAGGAACCCAGGGTTTCAGCTTGCACTATACTAGCAGGAAGACTATTCCATACTCTAACTACACGCTGTGTAAAGAAGTGTTTTCTCAAATTCAGTTTAAAATATCCTCCCACTAATTTCCACCTATGGCTACGAGTTCTAGTATTTAAACTAATATTAAAGTAGCCATTTGGTTGAACAGCATCCAGACCTGTTAGAATCTTATATACCTGGATCATGTCCCCCCTTAATCTCCTTTGTGTGAGGCTAAACAGATTCAGCTCAGCTAACCTCTCATCATAAGACAATATCATTGCATACAATAAATGTTAAACATCGTTTTCATATATACCTCATAATTGGTTCAGAATTGCAGAAATGCATTTAAAAAGAGCTAAACATCTACACAACTCCAGACTGTCAATTTTTAGGACCAGATGCATCAGGCAAGATGATTATTTAAATTAAATTAATAATTTGAGATACACCCACCTATGCAAATACTTTGGGTGGGAATTGGATTATCGTGCCGCACATGATGATGGCAGGCTGGAAAGCCTGGAAAGCCCATGAAATACAATTAAAGGGCCAAATTACTTTGTCAGATTACTATGTTGTTTGTTTGTCTGTTTCACCCCCAGATAGTCCACATTTTTGCTCCCTTTCAGTTCCCAACACGCCCGTACCAGGTATTCGGTGTTCTTGATTGGCTGGGAGCTGGGAGGGAGCAAAAATATGTCTGGGGATCCCCAAGGACTGGGTTGATAAATATTGATCTTGACGGATGTTTGCTTTCTCAAAGCACCGAGGATTCATGAGAAAACTCATAACTGGCCAATTTTCAGAAAAGTTCAGCTGTGGCCTGGAAAATATGCGAAGACAAGAAGTTGTAAGACAGTTTCTTTTGAACATTTTTGAAATGTTTTGGTAGCTAAGGAAGATGATCTGGTTGCCGTTTTTTGAGTGACGTTTTTGAGTGAATCACCAAGCTGTAGAAATGGTTAGAGACTAGAGCTTGGGAGGTTTCTTTAGCCGAAAGAGCCCACACAGAGCAGATAATACAGCAGGAGGTTCCCTTTAAGATCGGCAGCTGAATGATGGGGTGCAAATGCGCAGGATGGGAGGCCCTGCAATCACTCTAGCGTCTCTTTCCTTTGTGTGCATGCAAAACACCAGTGGGACATTAATTCATCCTCACCCTGCACCTTCTGCTGTCTATTAATTAGGGATAAAATGTCTGCAGAATAGGGGAAGGGCTACAGGTTAATCACATTGGGCCTGTAGCCAAACATACAGGCCATACTTCACACTTTCCCTTATTGCATATATAGTTTATGCTTATATGCTTATTATGCTTCTTTAGCCTGTCACCCTTCTTGGAAATGTCATAAGTAATTGCTTAATAATATTTGATCAGGAAGTTATCTCCTGAGTGACAGCACACTGAAGGAGGCCCACGGAACAAGACGATCATAAGTCTGATTATTAAGCACTCAGTGACCTGTCTGGAAATTCGGGGCTGTCGCAAAGTTGTATGGCATCCAACGAAAGTGAATTTATACTAAGCTGCAAGAAATCACCAGAAAGGTCTTGTTCTTCACTCGATTTGTACCTAGACGAATGTCTGCCCGGTCCGGGTGTCCGCGGTGACACGATAATCCTGTCACTGACATCAGCTTCATCAGTTAATGCTGCAAAGGTCAGTCAGGCAAAATGTCACAAATGTCAGTGAGGCTCCTCAGCTCCTCAGAGCTTTACCAGGAAACAATACCATAAGCTCTGCGTGTGTGTGTGTGTGTGTGTGTGTGTGTGTGTGTGTGTGGGTGGGTGGGTGGGTTTTATATATATATATATATAAAATTTGGGTTGCGTTGCGTTGGTCCCCACGATGTTATATATATATATATATATATATATATATATATATATATATATATATATATATATATATATATATATATAACATCGTGGGGACCAAATGTGCCCACAGTGTGATTTTGACCTTGTGGGGAGCAGCTTTTTGGTGGAAACTAAATTTTATAAGAGTTTGTAACTGGAATCAAAAACTAAAAATGCCAAAAGCCTTGTATTTTGTTTGGTTAGTTATGGTTAGGGTTAGGGAGGGGTCATCATGTTGGGATTAGTGTTTTCCCTCATAGAAATGAATGGAGAGTCCCCACAAAGATATAATTACAAACCTATGCGTGTGTGTGTGTGTGTGTGTCTGTGCACATGTGTGTAGTTTGGGGAAGCATTTTGCTATCTTTTAAGTGCAATATTGAAAACCTAAAAAAAAATTATATGATTATGGTAATTTTAGGTTAATCAAATTATTTGATAATATAAAAAATATATTTTCGCTTTTGATGTTTCGTTATAAAACAACATTCATTTCAAAGTCTCCATAAATTTGGCTCTGTGAACACGGTTTCCATCGTCTCTGATTATATTGTTAGTATGGTGTGTGTTGTTAGTATGGTGTGTGTTGTTAGTATGGTGTGTGTAAGCATAGCTGTGCCAGGCTGCATGTTGTACATGTTTGTGTGTGTGTGTGTGTATTATTCCGCATGACTGAGGGGTGTGTAATAAGTGCTGTAGGAATAGAATGGATCTTTGAAGTGTGTCTCTCCCTCTGAAGTGTGGAAGACGCCTTGAGCTCCGTTAATCCCCATCACCCCATTCTCCAAAGTTTTGTCAAAATAGACCAGTTTCACTCAAGGCCTCAACCACCAGTTACAGCGGCGGTTTCCCCAGCAACCGCGGGGTCTGACCAGGGAAACACCTAATCAGGAGTCATTTCTTAGCCACGCCTGTACTTTAGTGACTGCAATGCTGCACTGCGTCAAATTTCTACCAATTACATAAACAAGTCACGCAAATATTTCAGCCGCTTTCTAGTTCTGTGGTATCTTTGATCACCCCTCAGCGTTTGTTCTGTTGCTGAGTCCCTCACAGCACTGAGTTCTCCAGCCTTTTGCTCCCTGTTAAGCCTGAATCCAGGGCCCTTCGCAGGGAAATGGTGCATCTAACATCCTCGGCCCGCTGTGTCTCTCTGCAGTACGGACTGAAGAAGAAGGAAGAGAGGGAGGCTGAGGAGAAGGCCGCCATGGAGCAGGCTTGTGAGGGTTCCCTGACCCGCCCCAAGAAGGCAATCCCGGCCGGCTGCGGAGACGAGGATGAGGAGGAAGACGAGAGCATCCTGGACACCGTTCTCAAGTTCCTCCCAGGGCCCCTGCAAGACATGTTCAAGAAGTAATGGGTTTGGAGTGTGGGCGGGGCAACTGGAGGCGGAGCCTGGGACTGGGGGTGGGGCTTAAGGGGAGGAATGGAACTGGGATAGGCTGCCGCCGAATATGGCCATCCACAGCCTGAACGGGCTCTTTGTCATTATTTTATACTGCCAGGAAAAGAAAAAGATATGACAGTACATAATCTCAAACCACACCGTATTTTCTTGCTTGGTAGCCAGTTCAGATTATGCTTCTTCTTCATTTTTAATTTTTTTTTCAAATCATCCAATTTTTCAAAAACCGACACCACTGGGGGGGGGCGGCATCCAGGAATCCCACTGTCGAGACGTGCCAGTGAATCGGAAAAACCACCACATTCGCATGGAGGTCCGGACACTTGGGGAAGGCGGTGCTCACCTGAACCGTAGTGAAGGCGTCCAGGTCAGGGGGGAGGGTGAGCGCTTGTACCTCCTGCCGTCGTTCCTCTGAAAGGCGCCAAATCTTTACCGCCAAACCACTTTAAGACCGAGTTCACAGCCTGTTGTTCAGTTCAACGGATCGCTATGACGTGAAATTTGCTTTCGCCCGATCCGTGCCTTCTTGTATTTTCCCCCACGGAGGGACTGTTTTTTCACACGTAAAAGCACCAGGTTAGACAAACTGCTTTTTTGTTTCTATTTGCCCGTGAGCGATGGAGTCATAGGACAGAAGTTGCGTGTAGAAGACGAAAAGATTCCTTTTTTTCTGGAAGGAATCTCTGCAGGACTTTTGTCTGGGAGCCTCAGTGGTTCCATGATCTCTCGCCTCAGAGACAGCTGTGAAGCCACCAAAGTTCAGCTGGGCTGTATAATCTGACAGCAAGGGGGCACTGCTGTGAACAAAGAGGTGAAGGACAGCATTTACACCCAGCCACGGCGATTTTAAGAAAATATTAGCTAGCAGTTTTTTTTTTTTTTTTTTTTGCCTTTGGGCTAAACCTGTTGTTTGAAATTATTCCGTATTACTAACCACTTATTTTTGTTGCCTGAACTCTTGTCTGCCACATATCTTCATCGTTTAGCCATCCATCGAAAAGTACAGGCTATAGCATGCTGGCTTTGGAGTAGAAACATCAACAGATGAGCTGTACACCGTGAGTTTAATCATTTGCCTTCATATAACAACAGCCCAAAAAGAAAACAGGTGATGACGAATGCCAAGTCAAGAGTTTTCCCAAAGCATCACTTTCACTTATAAAAATGCCCAAAAAATGCCGTTTCGTAGTTTTGTAGAGGAAAAAAGAATAACCGCAATATTTGCATATTAGTAGAAGTACAATATGAATATGTTCAGTAACTGATGCATGATGGGATTGGCATTAACACAAACGGTATCTCCTGTGCCCTCTGTAAGTGATCTGTCTGTATGTCATTAGCATAGTCAGGAAGACAATCAAACAGCGCCGGCCCGTCTTAGGAAGGAGCTGGTGCCAATATCGTCTCATTCACCTTGTTGCTTCTGTGTCTGTATCCCTAATATTAATAACATTTTAATTGGTAGGTTGTTGTAGACATATCCAGGGAAAATTGCATGCTGGAGTAAACCACTGACCAAGAAAAAAATAAGTACTAAGTTTGGTGGACCAATATTTTTAAAACAATAGGTAAACAAGACTTTGCTAGCTATATGTTTATTGGCTACTTTTTGCCTTAGAGCAATGTTGTCATAACGATTGTTATACATTTTTATTCTCTCACTTGATTGTTTTGGAGCCTGTGGCTATTTTAGTTGAGCTCTTTGAAATGTGAGGACTGTCGAAATGGTGAGATGATGACGAGAAGCGTTCCTGCAGATGGCAAACGCCACATTCGATGGACTTTAATGGGGACCAATTCTTTAGCGTTCGGTAGACCAAGGCCAAGATGTGCCCGGGAAGGAGTGATGTCAGCGCGGTTACCACGGAAATGCTTACGCCGCCGCAGACACCCGTCCTGAATGTTTACACACGATCATTTACCTTTTCTAAGTGACGAAACCATACGTGACATTACATGTTTACCTAAGACAAAACATAAACATGCATAAACACGTTTACAAAACATCACAGCCGATAGTTCCATCCTTTATGCCATGTGCTATTGTCACGGGTTAAAAATATATATATAAGTATTAGTTTGATTTTTGATTATGAAAGGAATTAATTTTTTCTTCATATGTTATGTATAATTGTAACTTTTTTTTAAATATCAAACAATGCCTTTACCCAGCGACTTAAAAATCATCATACATTGAGCTTTTTTCAGATTAACTGCAGAAACAGGCATTTGAACATTTAAATATTGAATATAAACTAGCTATTCATAGCTCGTGGTCAGCTGTGTCATGTAATGGGGGTGTGCTTCTATCATAGTCTGTAACACCAGCTGAAAATGCATTGAGGTTTGAATTCACAAGCACCCAGACCAAAGAGAAAGAGACCTCGAGGTCCTCTCCATCCATCACAGGGTCAACCTCGGGGTTGGTTTTTGCTGAGACACGACGTTCACACTTACGAAATCTCAGGTCCTGGTTCGCCTGAGCGGATTCATTTGGTCCACGGCTTTCCCTTAGACGCTGGTTACACAAGAAACGGCCCCTGAACATCATCTTCTCGTAACGGAATCACTGCTTTCGCATTGGTCCATGTTGAATGTGATGACAGAAACATGGATATCGTGGCCCCCTTGCCCAGGTCTCAAGATTATTATATGACATTATGTCATTATGTGTCTCTTAGCTATGGCAGCGTCAGTCTGTTAAGAAGTCGATGGCCCCCAGAGGGTCTATCAGTGAACGAGTCCTATTAACGGTAAAACCAGTTCCACTCTCTTGCTTGCATCGCAACTTTGGTTCCATTTGTTTACATATCTGTTTTTTTTTTTTTAAATTGTACATTTAGCCAAAACATTGTCAGTCACAGATGTGTTGGAGCAAAGATGGCAAGAGCTGGAGCAAGGGAAGAGGGGGCAGGGGTCTAGACCCACGCTAACCAGTACCAAACTGGCACTTTCTGACTGGAAGAGCAGCTGGATAAGAATGACGACATATTACCCGGGCAAAACGTGTGTTACTTTGAATTTCGTTTTGCTTTGTCGAACTTCTCACTAGCTAAAGCCATATCGTTTAGACTGCAATAATTTATTAAAACGGTAAAAAGGGTAAATTAGCGTGGAGGATTTTTTTGGTCTTGTTTTCTGTAAAAGAAAACCTCTATTACTATGTACCTGTCCATCTAACTCTCTTTTATTATATATTATTAATATGTATGTATATAAACATAAATGCAGTGCAAATACATTAATTGTAAAAAAAAAAAATAGTTTCTAGCAAGAACAGCGGTACTGTTGTCTGTGCGTGGCGTCTGTGTGTGTCCACATGTCCGTCCGTGGTGTGTGTTCGGTTTGCGTCCCCGTTGTGTCTGTGATGCCTTTATCTGCCTGATGTGCTCGACCACTGTCACATGCAAGGGGTGAACTTTTAGGTGATGAATCACGGCCTGCGCTCAGTGTCTAGGTTCTAGGAACCCGAGTCATAAGAGTTCAGTTATTATTATTGTTATTATTACTAATAATAATAGAGTATGAATGCATCAGTAGGATCCAGTGGTTGTTTGACAGTACTTAATAATGAATGGCCCCCAAGCCATTGTAAGTATGCAGTTTCAGTTAATGGAGGTGATTAGGCTTAGCCTGCTTATGGACACTCTTGCTCATACTCGCTCCAAGGTAGAGAATTAACACTCTCAGCTACCGATGAAGTAAAGGAGTGAGGTAAAGCAGTGGTCCAACCTCTGCATGCTTAGCTGTTGTTGTTTTCTCATTTATAATTAATGTGATTAATTAATACGGAAACCGCTGAGGGTTGTTCAAATGAAATTCGCTAGCAGGTGTTGGCAATCAAGCGCCAGTTAGGAAATTGATTGCTCAGAGTGTGGCTGTATTGGAGTGATTTATGTTTTAATTACTGGGTAAAATGGCAAGTGAAAAAAGGCAGGCTAGTTTGGGCCTCGTCTGACAAATAAGCTATTAGGTGCAGTAGGAAATCTCAATGTTGTGTTTCAAAAGTGACAAGCAGTGCTATTCCAGATACCACCTGCTATACATCTATTTAACTAAAGTTCATTTCACTCTCATGTTTTCTGTTTACACGCTCATTCTGGATATTAGCATAACAATACATCTATTGTTGTTCTTTTTTTCATACCAAGTACAAATATTCATACTTCTTCATCTCTCTGAACCATGCAGAGTGTACTACACTCATTTTTTTCATCAGTAAAACATGAGTGTGAATAACAATTGAACACGTATGCGATCGAGACGTCTCTGTGCGAGTCATGGTACCACTAAATCATTAACGCATTAGCAGCACAAAAAAAAAAACAAAAAAAAACCACAGTAGTACACTCCTGGGGGAATAGGGCTGATTTGGTCGGGTAAAAACCAGGCTACTGTTGAGCTTTGAGTTTTTCCACTCCGATCCTCTTCGACGTCAACACCACGTCCATGTCGTCTCAAGGATACTGGCACTAACATGTAGCTAAGCAGATCTCATGCCACTGCCTTGAGCTATTGCTGTGAGTCATGTTTGTTTGGGAAGGGAAAGATCCCCAAATTCAGTGCGTCAAATGGACGCAACAATCGATTTTATATTTCTACAGATGGCTGTTAATCCCAGTTGCTTCACTGATCTCCCCAAACTGAAACTGTTGTCCTTCCAGGCAAAAAGGGCTTGTTTCTCTCTGCGTTAGAAGGGAAGGACAACAATCCAGGGCCATGTGGGGGCGCCAAGACAATAAAAGTCAACCACAGGGAAATACCTTGGCAACCTAATGGGGGGAGGATAACCATGCCTCAGAGGAAGACAAGATATTGGATGATTTTCATTTAGATTATTTTCAATGTCCAATTTTTCTCTGATCTCGTGACGAAAAGATGGATGAACGATACATTAAAAAGAAAAAGAAAAGTCTAGCGGATATCTCTAGATAACTGATATGGATGCTGGACTGTGGTAATAACTTTGCCCATAAAATAGAATATAAAAATGATATTTTATAAAATATCAAAATAAATAAAAATATTATTAGTATTGAAAATAGTAAAATAATAGTACGTCAATACAATAATGCAATGTAATAATAGGACATGCAGGTTAAGTTAACACACAATGATATCCTAAATAAGGCCTACACAGATAACCATGGAAAGCCAAGTAGATTTGCTCCTCCTTCAGGCCTAGCTGCCGTGAAGCCTCCTCTGACCGGATCCCGAGCCGTGGACTCACAGTGCTTCTGCCCGCTACGTCAAGTATAAAACTAAGCGGAATATAATTGAGAAGGGCTATTTCCGTCATGTTTTCCAAACACCGTCACTGTCAGTGTCATTGACATGAACCATGTTTTAACTCGCCAAGACCAGAGAAGATGCCAGAGCAGGTCATGGACATCTCAGACTGATCCTCATCCATGTACATGGGATTGTTGGGGGTGGGGGTCATTTCAGTGTGTGTTTTTTTTTCCTCCAAGATGTGGAAGACAATGTTTTTAAATCTTTACAGCGCAGGTTGTGGTCATCTCAAACTAGACCTCATCCATATAGATGGGAACGGTGGTCACATGTCGAGATTAGGTGCTGTTTCTGCTCAGGGAGTGAAGGAAATGAGCCAGAAAGCACGGGGCGACAGTGCAGAAGGCCGGAAAGTTCTAGCATGTGACAGCGGCCACAATGGATGGTTGGGTCGCGGTTCACCCAGGCTGTGCTGGGCAGACGAGCATGTCAGTGTAGCCGTCCTCTGTCTCGTGTCTGTGGCCGCTGGGTCAGAATGTGATAAACACACACATTTCTTACCTCCCAAGTGCCACACAGATGTGCATCTTCTCTTCTCAAAGGAAACCATTTTATTCACGGTTTTAAACTCATTACTCCTGTGACATCCTCCTGAGACCCAAGGAAAAAAGTGTCCTTCAATTTAAGTTATTTGTCTTTGGAGGAAATAAGACATCTTACAATTTAGATTTTTTAAAATTTATTTTTATTTTTAATTTCACAGCATGTCCTCTTTAGTGCACAACAGGAATAAATATGTTTCCTAACATCAGTGAAAAAATAGATGCAAAAATAAAATGTCCACTACAATGGACATAAATGAATGGGTGGGGTCTCAGGAGGATACAGAGGTTCATCTTCGACGACGTACAAATCAAATGCAAAATCACCTGCCGTAATGCCGCATCGCCGTAATTAGTCTGAAGGGGCTGTCATTTAAAAGGTTTGCTTCACGGTGCACATTTACTTCCAGCATCACTGGCATTTTTCAGATTTAAAAACTGCTCAGATACAAAATGACACGAAAGATTTAAACACAGGATTTCTGATAGGTTTTTATGTGAAGAAATTTTGTTGTACCTATTAAGGCAAATATCAGACTTCCATTCTTAATGTGACATGATTAAAAGGAGACATTTCATGTTTGCTTTTATAAAGCAGTTAGGAATGATTATTTGAATAGATTTTTAAAAGACTCATATATGGCAAAGTAAAAAAAAAACAGAAGTCAATTTCAAGCTAATATTGCTTGAAAATATTTTTAAAAATATGATTAATAATGAGCTTTAAACTTAGAATAATTTTCTCATATTTGCCTAAAATGGTAATTGTATTCCTGAACGATTTTAAGTAATCAGAAGGTCAGTAATAATGGTTTTCTGCATTTGAAAAGAAAAATCTGGCCTATTCACTGTTTGTTTTTCCTTAGAAAATCATCTAACCATTCAGATAACAACGCTCAAATCCACACCTGTTACCAACAGTAAATTCCTAACGTGAGCTTAAATGTTGTTTTTTTTTAATCCTAATAAACAGCATGCAAAAAGGCACTTTAAAGCTACTGTCAGACTGAGCGAGGAGGAACGACATGCAGGAATGCAGTATATGTAGCATGAAGAACGTTCTTCATGCTCTGATGGAGGGTGAGGAAATGAGGCCGTGTCAACCAGAAAAGAAGGAACATTCCAGAACACCTGCCAATATCCGAAACCTTTCAACTTTATCATCTGTCGGAAACGAAATCGTCGTTGCGAATCGTTTGTATTTTAAATCCATCGAGACTAGGCTTTCTGCATTAGGGGTTGGAGAATCAGCAGGAACTCTACAGTGCATCTTCTGGTGAGCATGTTGGTGGATTGTCAATATCTACGTCATACATTACGTCATACTCTCCGTCATACTCTACGTCGCTTCTCTCGTTTTCTGCTTTTACGTTACGGACTGAACGGGTCGGGTGCATGCTTCGTTAATTCGCTGTATTTATGCAATCTACGCATCGCAGAAAATACCACCGATCTATTCCAAACCACGCACATATCTAAACTTTCGACTTAATAGACTTTAGATTTTTTAGAAGCTTCAAACACCATCACTATTAAATCATCGTTCTCTAAAACTGCCCGCGTCTGAGATTTATTATAAAACCGTTGCTTTTTTTGCGCGCGACAAGCGGAAGTACGAGTTTACAGACTACTTTTCTGTCGTTGCGTAACGAGATTTTTGGGAACATAGCGTCAGACTAGCCACGCTTCTGTCCTGCCAAATTGACCTTGCTGTCTGATGCAAACACTGTGCTTCCTTTCCCGCATAGAAGGAGCAAATATTTGATAAAAATAATAATAAAAAAAAACATTTCCTTCGTGATATCTTCTGTGGCTTATCTAGATAGTGACAGAACAACACGGACCTGCAGAAGACGAACTGTCCCCACACGAGGAGGTGACAATAAACAGGGATCTGTGCTACATTCCAGTATCTTTCGGTTTGCACTAAACTCTTTGATCTTTTCTTGACCAAAATGAAGAAAACGATCGGTTCTGATGTCTCAAACGTCCCTTTGATTTTCCTGCAAGCACTCTTTTGCATTAGTGAGTTTGTGACATTTTAACTGTGACTCTGATAAAGTTGAAAGGATGGTTTGAGGTCATAATATAAAAAGAAAATAAAGTGAATATGTAATGTTTTTCCTAAATCAGCCTGAGGGATGCTTTTTTGTAATTACTTTTGTTTTATTTTGTGACTGGGAGAGGAAAATATAAGATGAAAATTCTTTTTTTTTTTCATTTACTGCATGTCATATATTGTATGTGGAACCAAATCACTGTAGAATTGTCACATCTATGGAGCTTAACTGTACTTTTTCGATATTAAAAGCATAATTAAATGAATAAAGTGGTTTCATACAAACATATTCTGGGTTATCATTGATAAATGTAAAGGTGACTTGTCATGAACATATAATTTACGGTACTTGTAATGCCTATAAGGGTATATCTGAGAGAAACAGAATATATCTTAATTATAAGTATTTAAAACTATACAGGATTTCAAAATGAATCCTATTTATTTCCGCTGTCATTTTCTCACCAAGGCACAAACTGGATGGATGATGTTACATGGTAATAAAACATCCTATGATAAAATATGTACTTAATAAAATGTATTTTGCTTGGCTGTATATATTGCATGTCGACACGGTGCAACATATCAAAGTTGTCAAGCTGCATTTCAGCGGTTGTCCTCACTGTGCACACTTCCTGTTTGGGAACCTAGTGATTATCATCCATGGCACATTTCTCATTATAAAGTTAGAAACTAATTATGCAATTATTATTTAAAAAAAAAAATCAAGTAATTAATCGCATTATTTTCTGTAATTAATCGCTATTAACTACACCTAGCACTGAAACTTATAATCGTAAATTTTTACACATTCAGTCCTTAAATTAATGTACAGTTAAGAGTATATGGTAGTATATATGGGTCATTTTCTCAAACTCATTACCATAACATAAATTTTTATCTCATTGTTAAAATTAGATTGAAGACAGACTCAAACTGTCGATTTTGCCTCTTGGGTATGTGCTCAGTTTTGTTATATTACCGGCTGTTTCTGAATAAGTAAAAGCATTTACTCAAATCCAGGGCAAGTGTTACAGAGATGGAATTACGTGGGTTACATGTAATAAAGTTTAAAGTTTTAAAAACATTTTACCTAGTTTTGTGTTCCTTAATTTTTGGTCACAAAAAAACAAAAACAACAAATTACATAATTTTAGTATCTCTAAAAAGTTTAAGTAATGTCAATTGCTCCACTCAAAAAACAAATAGTGTATTTCACTGTAATATTTTTTCTGAAAAAACGAGAATGTGAGAATGACCTATATTTTCACATTGGTGTAATGTAACTTGTGATGTACAGATTATTAATTTCCAAGAAAAATAATACTTGCAATGAAGGCCAACTGAACGTTAAAGCTTTCAAAAGGGCTAGATGCATAGCATGACAGGGTATTGTCTTGTAAGTAGGGATGTTAAATTATTATTTTTTAATAGCACACTTTGGCGATTAATGGCATATACATCATGTATATATAGTTGCAGGTTCTCAACAGGCAGATCAACACACTTTTTATTTGAACCACATGATCGATCTAAAACCTATTTGGCAAATAGCACTAAAAACAGAAACCTGACAACCACTGAAAATGCAATTAATAACATGAAAGATCTTCAAATTTGAAGGCAAAAGCCTTTAATAAAAGAAATTTTGCAAATTACAATTAAAAAAAAAATCCTGTATATGCCACCAATCTCTTAAAACAAAATAAACCCGGGGCCTGTATGGCAAAGCTGGATTTTTGGGTTGGCAATACTCCTTGTCGGATTTAAGGTAGTCTGGGCTAATTGTAAATGGATGAAGAAGATGTCCATTTAAACTGCGGTACCTTAAATCTGACACGTTATCCAGCTAAGCAAGAAATCTGGCTTTGTGATACAAGCCCCTGGTAACATCAGCTTCACGCAAGACAATTAACCGAATGTTTCGATTTTAGCTATGAATTCTGGGATTCTGTGTAATGTCACAAAATAACCTCTCGCCAACCAGGATGGAATACTATAGGTTTCTATAATAAATCTTTGCTCATACTATTCTACCATTTGGGTATCAAAATACTGCATGCATAATATCACGTTATGACTTTAAAATTAACGCTATGTGTTAACAAGATAATTTTCCCAGCCCCAGTAATTGTTACATTTTGATGATTCATGTGAAATAACGGAAATGTACCGAAATGAAATCCAAGAATCGTGTCAACAATCAAGCCAAGTCCAGAAACCAAATCTAGGTATTATGTATACAAAGTCCAAATCACATTCATCCAGCAGACTCCACAGCATGGGTGAAAGTTCAGAAACCAGAAGAATGAGCTCTGCTACTCAACAATTCGGCAGTGAATGGGCTTAGCAGTCGGGGAGGTCATTTATATCATTACTATGGTGTTTCTCAACCCGATACTCGGGGACCTCCAGAGTCAAGTTTTTGCTCCCTACTGGGAGTTGGGAGAAGCAAAAATGTGGACTGTCTGGCACGGAGCTAGGAGGGAGCAAAAACGTGGACTGACTGGCAGGGAGCTAGGAGGGAGCAAAAACGTGGACTGTCTGGCAGGGAGCTAGGAGGGAGCAAAAACGTGGACTGTCTGGGGATCCCCAAGAACTGGATTGAGAAACATTGCCTTACTTACTTACAGGTGTGTTTAGTCTTGGGTGGGGTGTAGTCTGGGTTGGGTGGGTGGGGTGTAGTCTGGGTTGGCGTGGCTGCCAGGGCTGCTGGAAAGAGGTGGGTCTTACACTCAACACAGCAATTACTTTTGCTGATTTTTGCCAATGTGTCATGAAAACAGACATGCCCCAAGTGTCACGATGTACTTGTTTTCAACAACAGACATGCCAGAGGTATATTGCACTCACAGATTCTAAAGTTTATAAAGCTCAGAAAGTCTCAGAAATGCACAAATAAACCTCTATGTTAGGCACAAATGCACAGAAAACGCCAGTGTGCCAAGAGAGGGAGTGATTTTATTTATAATTTTGTTTGGGCTTCCACCTTAAAATGCCATTCACCAAACATGACTTCTTCATACTCCACAAACATAAAAACTGGCCCTCAGTCTAAACTAACGATCTCTAACTTACCCACCACATATTTGGTATGGCGGGGGGGCTACCACAGAAAACACAGTGCAGTCAAACACTGGACGCGATACCAGTCCAGAGCAGGACAGGCACTCACATGCAGGTGGACAATAAGGGTAAGTCTGAGGCAGAGATCCATCCAACTTGATGTTTTTGGGCTGAGTGGGGAGCGATAGTAGGAGGATGTATGTGACACCCATACACAGAGCCTTGGGCAGGCATCGAACCCGCAACCCTGGGGCTGTCCTAATTACCAAGCCACCACACTGCCCTTTCTCTATACACGTCATATTCAGTATCAGTACTATGATTTCATCTATACCTAGGTGTCTCTAAACATTGCTCGAGTTTCAAAGTTTGACACCTCGCCTTTCCAAGACTGTGCAAGCAGATCATCGCTTACTGTCCTTACAGAGGCCAGAACACAGCCACCATGACAGCCCTAACTTTAGTTCCGATGACACATACACCCTACTTTCTGCTTTGTTAGCGTGTGTTAGCATGTGTTAGCATGCACGTTGCGAGCCGAGAAGCCAGGTGGATGTATAATTACCTTCTGACTCGCCTCGTTTCCTCCTTCGTCTTCCAGGAATTTCACCGCTTTAAATACACCCAACGACTTTAAATAGCAGGTGTGTCCATCTATGAAGCACAGCAGCTGTGCTGGGAAGGGCGAAATCGAGGGGAAAACCAAATTAAATTAAATTAGCGGCTGGTGAATGATTGACACTGATGATTGCCGCCACAGAATACCCGTTGTGCAGGTGGAGATGAAGCCTCCATTGACTCGCTGCTGATAAACAACTAAAACTCCTGCAAGAAAACAAGTCGGGAAAAATCCAGCTTGTATAGCGCATCTGTGCAGAATGATATTTAATAATCGCTTGTTCCTCTAGTGCTGTTTGCAGTAATTACCATTTTTTAGTTCAAACTCTAAAATTGTACCCTAGAACGTCTGAAGAGGACATGGAACGCCCTCTCATCAACTGCAACTTTGTCTCTAAAGATTAGCCAATTAACATATGAAACAGTTCCTAAATTGTTTTAAGAAAAAAAAATAAACACATAAAGCTTCTTTACGTAAATGGAAACCGCACTGAGAATAGCTGGAATATAATTTTCCTGATGAATTACTTTAAGGTTACAATGTGAATTGTCAAAGTGGAACAATACTCGATGAGAAAAACATTGAGGACATTATTCCAAAGTCCAATAATTCAACACCGACCCCCCCCCCCCACCTTACTCTTACAAGGAAAAGGAAACAAAAAACATTACAGAGCAGGTGTAAACGCCAATCCTGACACCTTCTTCAGTCCTTGTCACCCCTGTGCTCTATAATTGCATTTCTAACACCGGTTGTGAGACACAAAGGGAACGCTGTTCTCCTGCTTTTGGAGTGTGATGCTTATCTGCCTTTGCTCCTCATAATTGGAATCATTATGTTCTTTCACAGGGATCTATGAGAATTTTTATGTTAGCTGAGGCTCCTAGACTGTAATTATACACTATACACATTCACCCCCCCCCCCCGCAGAAAAAAACAGCAAGTATTCCGTATTGTTCAGAGTCATCTTTCATCGCAACAGATAATCACACTGGGACAAACAAGCAGACTAATAGGAGGTCGTTGGAAAGGGCCCTTATGAAATCTGAAAACAGGTCTCAGCTGAGTCAAAAGGCAAATGTAGCAAACTGTGCCTTGAAAATAAGGCCTCATACAAGGCTGTTTACTGTCCGGGCAAAACTAAATGTCTTTAACAGCATTTTTCGTACTTTCCAACAGTCAGTTGTGTCACCCTAAGTTCCCAAATTAGGGTTATCCAGCTATAGCCAGGTTTGGGGTTAGAAAGGTTATAGCTTTTTCAGACATTAAAACCTTTTTGTGATTGTTCAGAGCCCCCATATAACGGGAAACCACTGTTTAGCATGATTTAAAGAAAAGCAAGATGGGTGTGATTGTGGGGGGGAGGGCTACCAGGTTTATTGGCATTGATAGGCTGCTCCCACGCTACATTCATCCCAGTAACACGGAACCCTCTGGTTGACACCCAGGACCTGAGGCAGAATCTGAAATGGGGTGGATTGAATTTGCTTGGAGGGTGGGGGGCGGTCAGTGGGATTGACTGCTCCTATCCCCCAAGGCCCCCAGCAGACATTTGGTTCGCATGCACCTCAGGCCGGCTTTGTCGATGGCAATCCCTAAATCAATAATCTCTACCAATTGCCCCCCGGTTTCACCCAGAGATGTCTCCCCTGACTTCCATCAGTCCAGTTCCTGGAGATTTTGTTTATGTTACTCACCTCCTTACTCTGTTTTTCCCCTAAAAAGGGAGAAAATGGATGGATGTTTTATTGTTGAATGACAAGTATTTGTTATGGCAACAGATTTTTGCTGATTGGTGATTAGTGCAAAGTACTTTCTGATATAGAAATAATCTGGGTTGGAAACAAGCTTTATTTTGAGTTACTCTTGTGAAGTTAAGCTCAAAATAAATAAATCGCGGGGCCTAATGGCATCTTACAAGCAGTTTTAAAAGAGATGATGGATATTATTTACTGACCTTTAACTATCGCAGAAATCCTTATCTGCTGGTGTGATACCTTCTAATTGGAAGCATGCTAATATAATGCCC